TCATTTGTAAGTCGATTTGGATAAAAGCGTCTGCTAAATGACTAAATGTAAATGTAAATGTAAATGGATGATTTTCTAAACATAGACTACCATTCACAAGTTTGGATTAAGATTTTTTTTAATTCTCTTTTTGAAAGAAATGAATACTTTTATTCATATATATATGTGTGTGTGTGTGTGTGTGTGTGTATGTGTAGGCCTATATATAAACAGGTGCATCTCAATAAATTAGAATGTCGTGGAAAAGTTCATTTATTTCAGTAATTCAACTCAAATTGTGAAACTCGTGTATTAAATTAGAATATGGTGACATGCCAATCAGCTAATCAAATGGTCTCTCAGTCAAAGTTTTCCTGAGCCTGAATTGAGGCAGTAATTAAAGCAAAAGGAGCCCCTACCAAGTATTGAGTACATGTACAGTAAATGAACATACTTTCCAGAAGGCCAACAATTCACTAAACATGTTTTTTTATTGGTCTTATGAAGTATTCTAATTTGTTGAGATAGTGAATTGGTGGGTTTTTGTTAAATGTGAGCCAAAATCATCACATCATGTGTGTGTGTGTCTGTGTGTGTGTGTGTGTGTGTGTGTGTGTGTGTGTGTGTGTTTCAATTAAATTGTGTTCTTATGAACTTTCTATTTATCAAAACAATTTTGAAAAAAAATATTGCAGTTTTCACAAAAATATTAAGCAGCACAACTGTTTTCAATAGCAGCAAATCAGCATATTAGAATGATTTCTGGAGGATCATCTGACACTAGAGACTGGAGTAATGGCTAAAAAATATGAATATAAAATATACTCAAAAAGAAAATTTTGATCAAATAAATGCAGTTTTACTTAGCTTTTTTTTTTTTCTCTTAAAAAATATAAAGTAAAAATCTATTACCATTTTACAAAAAGAAAAAAAAATCTTGTTCAAGTGCCCTTCAAAGTGAGTAGGCCATACTGATGCCTACTTTCTAAAGTAATTCACCCAAAGTGTGGCGTGATTGTAGCAGTCAAACTTTCAGCAGAATACAAGGAACTGTTGGAAAGTTATGAGACAAGTTTAGAATGATCAAGGCTACTGGTGGGGTGGAGCAATAGAGGCGTGGAAACGGATTGCAGGCGCTGCCTCGCTGTTTACGGCGTGCTCACAGGTGGTGGTTTATTTGAACGTAGAAACAAACACATGTACACAAACGTAAACAAGCCTACACAGCCTCGCCTGGCTTTCTTCTCAGTCATTAGATGTCAGCGAACAGCCCTGGGGGAGACACTCACCTATTTCTATCAGCTCTCATTAGGAGCAGGGAGGACATGAAAGAGCAGCCGTTTCTTGCCACTGCCTGTATATGACAGGAAGGAGGGACCCGACTCAAACTTCTCTGACAATACAGCACTGAAGGGGAGGAGAGGATATGTCCTCACTTTCATATTCTTTCACTCTTTCTTTCTACTGTGATAGCTTTTGGCTGTATAAGCAGCGCAGTAGTGTATAATCTCCCTTGATTTACGGATGCTTTACTTTGAATGGAAACTGATGTCAAAGAGGCTGTTAATTAGAAACAGAGTACTTCATTTTACCTTTAAAACGCAATCCAAAAAGCAGGAACTAAGTGTTGCTTGCTAAGGAAAGCATCACTGTTACTATTGCTTAAATTGTGGGTTATGGATTTGAACAAACTTAACTTTGCATAAAATGTCCCATACTGCTTGTGGTTTGGACATGAAAGATACCTAAAATCATGCAGCTTGCTGAGAAAATTGCTATTACTTTTCTAAGCCACTTATGCTTACCAAGACCGCATTTATTTGATCAAAAATGTAGTAAAATAAAATAACTAAAGTTTTGAATCAGTAAGATTTTTGTAATGTTTTTGAAAAAAAGAGGCCTATTATGCTCACCAAGACATTGCATTTATTTTGTCAAAAACACAGTAAAAAACAGTAACATTGTGTCCAAAACATACATGGATGGATGGATGGATGAATGAACAAAAAACAACCAGTTTGGGGTCTGTAAAATTTTTTAAATGTTTTTAAAAGCCTCTTATGCTCATAAAGACTGCATTTATTATATCAATAATACTGTAAAAACAGTAATATTGTGAAATATTTTTACAATTTAAAATAACTGTTTTAATTTTTTTTACTGTCACTTTTCATCAATTCAATGCAACCTTGCTGAATAAAAGTATTCATTTCTTTCAAAACAATCTTTCAGCTCTTATGTCTGCTGCTAACATGTGGATTCAGTCTGAGAGAAGAAATAAAGACAGGGAGAACTAGTAGTAAGAGAGAGAGGGATGGGGTCACACTCTCTAAAGTGCAAAACAAGTAGCACAAAGACATCTACAAAGAGCACTTATCTAACTCTAAAGCACAGGAACTCTCTCACTTTCCACATGAGACTCATGTTTGTTAGTGCAAGGTCAAAGCAGAATGAAAGATAATCAGCACCCAGCAGTATTAATGTTGCACAGACAAATAAACACACATATCCCTCGTCATCTATCAACACTTCAGTGTGAGACATTATGCCACAGTTATCCCTTCTGAATTGTGAAAAGTATTGCAGAGAGTGAGAATGCGTGTAACTGTGAAGCCACAAAATATTGACAGTGTTTCTGCTCTGGGAGCCAAAAAATACACAGAAACTGAGCAATTCAGTTGCAGTGGGGAGGGTTTGTCCAGGACATAATAGAACAGAGAGACACCAGCACTGCACATAAAAACCGGCCCAGAGACAATTACTAGCAGGTCCGAGAGGGAACCTCTGGACTTTTTCCCATTTGTGAGATTGCAGTGCTACAGGTGAACACTCCACCATAATAAATCCCCCATAATCCCACAGAAGACTGATATCAAAGCCAGAACAGGAATCAGGGCAAATCTGTTCGTTATTACTTTTCCAATACTTCAAGCCCCCTTAACCGAGAGTGGATCTCAAGTTAACACCATCCAATAGAACTCCTCTTTACAGAAAGGGCCAAAGTAAAACCACTTGCCCCATTGTATGACTAAACATGTGGAAACACAGAACAGAGATGGACAGAGAGGTTCACAAAGGATTAATTTCAAAACCCCCTCTAAACAATCGTATTACAGTTTCTTCCGACAGGGATCAACATATCTCTGGCACTATAAAATATAACAAAAAGATAGGAGGAGCATTTTTCCTCATTAGAGAATTTATAGATAACTATATGGACAGTACTTTTGGAAAATATGTTATAAATTGTATCTGTGTGAAGTGGCCCCAATGAAAAAACTAACTTCATACATCCACACCAGTAGGTGTCAGTATGACACCAAAGAGACTGTACACTAAATTTTATAATCTAATGTGCCTTGAAGGATTGTGATGGCAAATCTGTCACAGTGTCTCTTATTCAGTTAGTGGCTTTTCTAAAATTGCGAGTAAATAATCAGCGGCAGTGTGATTCGTCTTTGTATGACAATAACAAAAATAAACAATGCCCCACTAGAATGACGGAAATTGAAAAAGAAACAGAAGGCTTTCCCAGACACCCAACATGTTTACTGCCTTTCCCAGAGAGAAAACATCTGGGAAACCCCTCTGTTTCTCTTCAAGCTTCCATCATCCTAATGGGCGATTCCCAATTTCCTTCAGTCTTCCCGTTCTGAGAAAATTATGAAAAATGAATGTACGCCATATGGTAGGTAAACAGCACAAAGAAAAAAGATTTATCCATGTGGAAAATCCATTTTGCCCGGTTTCCAATATACAGCAGCGCTATCAAATGAATTGGTCACAGTAGCCAGTCCCCCCTTGTATGGTTTCATTATAGTGAAAATGCTGCAAAAGAGGTACTATAGATTGAGAAAGCGTAGACATGTAGATGTATATAGAAAGAGACTGAATGAAGGTCAGCTTCATCAGACTCTCAATGGACCTTGCTGTATTTTCTGCCACCTGTTGAAGTATCGTAATCTATGCGCAGTATAGAGGGGCTATTCTGTCGGTGGGAGAAATTGCAATATATTTCAGCCCTTGCATTCAACACTAGAATAAAGACCACAAAAAATAGCATGCACTGTGGTTTATTCACTGTGCCACAGTAATCTAGCACTTTTATTTTGCCAAGGAATAACCCCAGCCCACGCTGAGACACAGCCACAGAAAGCAAGTGAACAGGAATGTGCCGAAAACATTTGATTCTACCTTAGTTTCCTGCTGTAAAGACACATCTCCAAAACAAATAATTTTTCTCCAACATTCTTTTCCATTGTCTTTTATCTTTCTCCCTGAATGATAAAACAGCACTCGACTATTGTATTAAAAACCAGGGCTGAACCAATGGCATCACCTCAAAGCCCAAACAGAGATATTCTGCAAAAATCTACAGTATCTCCTCTGGGACATTCATATATGCAGGCTTGGATGTTGATAAAAAATGGGCAGGGGCACAACTAGGGCAAAACTCCCATATCTCAAGCTTGCAAATCAAGTATGATGTGCAAAGCCTGGTTTTTGTTGTATTTTCCTACAATTTTTCCTCTATGCTTGCTTTCTTTTCTGCCCCATCTTTGGTCTCAGAGGTCCTTGAAAAACTAGAGACCTGAGAAAACCAAGAAGACAAGAAAAGCTGCCAAACAAAGGACGTGGAATACATGAATCTCAACCGAAACAATGACACAAACAATGCAACAAATTCCAGGCATTTTCATTAATATTTTCATAGAATATTAAATATGTTCCTGAGAAGAAAATTCAAGTTCAGTAGAATTACTTTCAATGCATATCTTCATCTAGTTTCTTCACTCTGCTCAACAATTACAGCTAAAAGAACGGCCTTGGAACCCCGTTGCAAACTGACACAGCAATACAATGCAAATCAGACCAAAGGTTACTCTGGACAATTTAAAGGAAAACATTTTTTTAAAAACTGGCTAGGGCAGCAATGATCTGTATTCTCAGCAGTAACATTTTAATTTTGCCGTTTTTCTTCACTAATAGAGTGCTGCCAGAATGAGCCCTAAACCCAGAAACAAGTTATTTTTCACTTTTGTTTCCATCATCCCAACATTATTTTTAAATGGCTTTTTGGTTAAATGCCTGAAATTAAGTCTGTGTTTAACACAAACAAGATACTGACACAATTTATTCTGTGACAGGGGTGTCTAGTCCTGCTCCTGGATGGCCAATATCCTGCAGAGTTTAGTTCCAACCAGCTCTAACACACTAGCCTAGGAGTTTCTAGAGAGTGAACCTTGATTACTTTGGTTCAGGTGTGTTCAGGGTTTGTAGGGTTAGGTTTGGTACAGGTACAGGTCTGGACACCCCTGTGAAATGATCACCCATAAAATGATCAGTGCTACCCTACTCGATATGTTGTTTTCATGTGTCTTGAAAGGTGGCTGCTAGCAAGTGGCTTAAGAGAACTGCAATGGTTGTCGGGAGACTAAATATCATCACGACTAACAGGTAAACTCATCTACTCACTAGTCCACTTTTACAGCCTCGTTGTATTTATACTTGCACTCTTACAAACTCAAACTTTCCAACTTGCTGATTTTAAATGAAGACTGAAAGACTTTCCAGAAGCCTAATGCTGAAGTTAAAGTCCTTTGACTCTTGTGAAGTTCATTTATAGCCTAACTTTTCCTTTTTACTTCTGTCGACTGTATTTAGGCTTCATAAAAGCTGTGATTGTTTGTGAAGATTACCTTGATAAAAAAAGTGTAAGAATCATAAACTTTTGTTTGTCACAGAGCTTATTTTCTACAATAATCCAAAAGCTAATGGAAAAATACTTTTGGATTTTTTTCCCCGTGAGAACCTGGGTGATGCTAACTTCCGGGTTGGTCTACGAAAATATATCATTCCATGCATAATTTCTCTCCTAATTCATCTGACTTTTTAGAACCAGAGCTAAGTAAGCTTGAAAACCAAAGAACTGAATAATGGCTTATCTAAACCATCAGGTAGCACTGTCACACTTATGTCCACACAGCAAAATATGGTTGACCAGGACCATAGTGGTAAATGGAACGTCTTACCTTTCCAATTAACCTTGGGAAGGGGGCTCGCTGGTTCTCTGGAACAAACATGGGGGGCACCAGCAGGGATCTTTTGGATCGGTATGGCATCATGTCTGACAGACCCAGGATCTCCTAAATCACAGCACAGAAAAGACAAAAAAATTGAAAATAGTTTAAATGTAAGAAATTCATGTGTAATTATGTGTCACTCTACTTCAATGCCAAATATAACATATTAAGAGGTAATTTGACATTTAGCTGACCATATAATCCAAAGGGACTTCCGGTACACTTACTACAGGAACATTTATTGGGCTAAGTGTTTTGCTCAAGAGGACAACGGTGATGGATCATAAATCATGCCTTGGAGGGTTTTAACCTATAACCTTTCAGTTGCCATCCCAGATCTTTAATCACTATGCTATTATACACCACATTAGTCCCATAATGTTATGAATACTTCATAAAATCAATGTAAATCCCTTCATGAAGGACACTACCAACTCTTACACTGGATATGTCCATATAATGTTATTTGAATGGATAGAAAAACAGCCACAATACATCCTATTAGGGTTACTGAACTATGCAGACATCTGATAGCGCTAATATAAATCTCTGGCAGGTACATCAATACAAACAAGGCACGCTGTGCTCTTACCAAAGTCATTAAAAGTGGTCATTACAGCAGTACTGTGGTTTTCCACCTTTGCTGCCATTGCTTCCTTTATTTAGATAGAAGCTTAATTGAAAGCCATGTCCTATTTCAGAAAATTAAACTAAGCAAATAATGTTGTAAGCTTTCATTCTGCAGCTCTAAATGGAGTTAAGTGAAGACTGAGCCTTGAAGTGGAAAAGAGAGACATTAAACTGCATAAGGATAGTGTATAGTCAGCTGGTCATTATCACAAAATATCACTCTTTTATGTCACACTGATGGGGTTTATTTTGCGATAATGGCCGCCTGACTGTACATTATCTGGCTTATTATGCAGACACACACCAAATAAGTAAATACATAGAAATGAAATATTGATTTAGTTTAAAATAATTTTAGCAAACAAAGAAAAAAAGAGCACAGAGGGACATTAACACTGTGTAGGAGATCGGTTGCCATGGGTAACGGTCAATTATATAGTTTAGTAGTTATTATGGAAAATATTTGACCACAGAATGTCACAACTGACCAATCAGAATAAAGTATTCCAGATAAAATGGTTATAAAGATGCAGAACATGCAATCTGAGCCACAAATCTCATCCCACTTAAGGTGTAAAAATGCAGCAAATGTGTTTTCCGTGGGTCTCAGCCTTCCATGTGACTACTGAAGTTTATTAGCATCTCAATTCAATAACCAAGCTAATCAGCGTCTCTCATGTTACCCTCTCTGATCCGTTCTTTCTTCCTCGCCATTTTGTTCTATTCTCTTTTCTTTGTCAACACTGTTGCAATTGCAGCCCCTAAGGACAATTAGATGGCAGCGCAAATTATATTTGTCACTCAACATTGACAGCAGGGTGAAACGGAATATATTAGCACAGTGGCAGCGACCCGTGCAAGTTCCTACTGGCCCTAGACGGCCATGTGGCAGGAGTAAATGGCCCTATACTGTCTTTTGATGACCTGGATCAAAATGCTTTCCGCAAACCCAAGGCTTAGCTTATTGGCATGCTCAAGCTAGGCCCTACTGGTAGACGCTGGAACTGCATCATCTGGAACTGCATTTTTCAGAATTCTCTGCTTAATATTTTTTCAGGATTTTCAGGAAGGTTCAGGAGTATTTATTTAAAAGAGAAAACCTTTGTAACACTAAGGGGGAAGAAAGGAAAAAATATACTGACCCCAACTACTTAATGAGTTGTTACAATGAACTGATTTATTTTTCAGGAGAAAATATCTAAAAATCAAAACAAGAGAAGTGTACTTGAGAAGCAACACTGCATAAGACAAAGAATTGTTTTCATTGGTTGCATCTTAAATATAAGTGCATTTTGTGTTTTAAATCATGTATTTTGCCATGTATTTTAAGTCGATAAATTTAACTGTTAACTTGTTTATAACAAATGGGGAAAATATGTTAGTATTCAAGATACATTTTCTGAAAGCAAGTTTTAATATTTTATGCAATATTGCTTCTTAAGTAAATTTATATTATTTCAAGAACTTTTAGACATTTATATGTTTAACTTTTTTTGCAGTGTAGCTCAACAAATTCCAGGAAGTTCTGTGCTAGGAAAGCAACTGCCATTGAGATGAATGTGAATGCTAACAGATATCTTTCCCAAGCCATTACAGACCACCTTGTTCTCAACAAACCAGTCATTTCAAAGTTTTTTTATTTTTTTAAATAAAATGCAATTTGAGCAGTAGTTAAACATAAATGGCCAAATGCAGAGAAATAATTAAAGTACATTAGCAAATCGCATTATAACCTAAATGGCCCATCTTGATCTGCCCGGACAGGAGATTCCATTTGTGAAATGGATACATCACACCACCATCTCTGGGGACAGCCTGAGCTATTAATGTGAGCAAGAGTGTCTCGTGTACTTTTCAGGCTGATATCAAGATTGATGGGTGATGTTTTTCAGGATATGCAAAACTGAAAAATTTATCATAAATCCCCATGGATCAGTCTTAATAGTATTTCTTTTTTTTTTTTTTTATCTGTTCTTTAAATGAATTATTACAGTCTGCTGTTGTTTTGATGTCATTAGCAGATACACACCATTGTTTCTCGCCAAAATCTCCCTTTATTGAGGGAATTACTTTCACTGTCCTGCTGTCATGAGCAAAAGAACGCCATTAAACACAGAGATGAATTCTATTATCAGAGCAACGTATTAATAGTCTTAAAATGCTTTATAGTGAAAAAAAAAAAGGATTCTGATATCTCTGTTTGTTCAGCAAGGCTTTAGAAACCTTTTTTACGCTTCACATAAGCAGCCTTTCAGCTGAATTGAAGCTGAGGACACGACGACAGCATGTTGTCACACAGATCCCAGCATGCATCTGAACTCATTACAACATTGAACCTATCTGAGCTGCATTACAAGGCGGAACGAGGAGGAGGGAGAAAGAGGGAGGGCAAAAAAGAATGTCACCTCGTAGCAACTGGAAAACAGCAGCTACAATGACTACATAGTTTGTCAAGGTTGGAAAAGCACCACTAAGAAGGCTCTTTTTGTCAATCCAGTCATTTTTATGCTTCTATTTCCATCTATTTCTGTTAGCTTATCTCTTTTGCTCCTGTTCTCTAAATTCCAACCCACTAAACATGCACTCCACAGACAAAGAGTTAACTTGACAAGCTATTTATTGTGTCCTACTCATGTCATTTTTTGTTGGGCGGGAAATGGTTGGGGTGCGGTCACAAACTTTCCATTTGCATCAGAAGCACAGCATGTTCTGTCCTTGCTGGATGTCTTTGGTCAGGCGTAGCAGCGGTGGAGTGATGAGGGTATGTGAGAGGCTGGATTCAGAGCTGCTGGAGCCCAAAGGCTGTCAGCATGACAAAGGTGGAATAGAACGGCAAAATTTGTTTGCACAGTCATTTGTTCGCATCGCTCTGACATCATTCATAGCCACGTAATGTGAATCATAGACTGGCCATATTTGATACCTACACTCAGAGATGGAGCAAGCTGATCCATTTACATATATATCGTGAACTTTTGAAGGTCGTTCAATCAATCTGTGTCAGAGCAATTTGTTTTATATTATTATTTTTTTACACAAATTAGTTTATATAAGCCTTAAATTTTTATATATTTTTTTCTTTCGTATTATATCTGTTAATTTATCAAATAAAAATGTATCGCATGAGTAGAATTACTTTCTATTTGTAAAGTATCTAACTGCATTATTAAAAAGGCAACAAATTGTTGTCTATGAGTGAGTCACTGAATATTTCACTCGATTCATTCAGAAATATTGATTCAAATGAAACAAGCATGTCATTGAATCATACACTTAAATGATTCATTCAAATAAGTTTTAATATCAAACACACAACCTTGCATAAAATCTCAAATGTCATGGTTCTTAATGTGACAGTTCACCCAAAAATTGATATTCTGTCATTACTTACTCACCCTCATATTTTTCCAAACCTGCATAATTTGGACCCCATTCTTCATAACATCTTATATGAAGAAAGTTAAGTTATACAGTTTTGGAGTGGCATGAGGATTTCATTTTGCGGTCTCTTTAAAGGACTTTTCTATGGAAATGCAGCATTGTCATTGGTGTAATGATTCAAACTCATAATCATACAGTCTATAGATCACCTTTCAGAGATTGCTTTAAAGTCATTATGTGTCTTTCAGTCACTGTATTGAAACTTATGACATGCCAGAACAGAACATCATATCAGTCCCTTCACCTTGGCTGAGAGCACTTTTCATGAGATAGTCACCAATATGTCCTCCCATCACAAGGGGAGTTTATGTTACTCTCATCCGCTACATAAGGGGCATAAGTGACAGAGTGACGGGTCTTACGGTGAAGATGAAACATCTCCGTCAACTAATCGACTCGCTGCAGTGAGCGATGGAGAGAATGAGAAAGACTGACGGAACTTTAAGAACCTTCTCTGTTGGAAAAATGAAGGTATGCGTTGAGGTTATTGATGATTTCCTTTGCCACTCTTCCCCCGCCGCATTCTCAAGGACAGAAAAGAGTGCAAGGTCTGTTGTATGTGTTCGCTATGCCCTCCCTCTGCCAGTGATGAACACTGTTGGCTAGAGCGTGCTGACATGCTGAAAAGAAGATAGTCATGAATCTTTAATGCTTCCTGTTCATAAATTACAGAGGTACAATCATCCCTGCTTCAGCTTTCTCTGCTCTATGAGCTAGTTTGAGCTCTCATTAATAACTGAAACAGGGCGGCTTAAAGATTAGTGGCATACGAATCCCAGCCATAGAGTACATTGCACCACTGAGCTGCATTGAGGATTACGGTTTTTGAAATTCTTCCCACCATTAATATTAAATTGTGTGTTAAGCAGTTTTAATATGTTTTAGCTTATTTTCAATCCCTGCAATCATCTGACGGCTCATGGTTAGCTCCTTGCACGGAACTGAACCAGCAAATTTTCGGTTAACAGCTCTCAGCCTCAACCATTACACCACCCAAGCTGCTTTTTGAAAATTCTGGTCAAAACCGCAATGCAAGCAACTTTAACATCACAAAATGAGCTGCTGGTTTATGGGGACCAAAGTTCAAGTCTGACCTGGGTCATGTCCTAATCTAATTTTCACTGTCACACATACCTCGGTATGTGCACTTGACTGTAAATAAAAAAATAAAAGATAGAATATAATAGAATAGAATCCAAGAAGTGCTAAAGTTATAAAAAACATTTTTTTTACTTAAATTATTTTAATAATCAATTAAATTACTAATGAAATGTTCGAATATAGAAAATATATATAAAGAGAGAGAGAGAGAGTATTACAGTCATAAATATTAATATACATTAAAGATAATTAATGGTAATAAGTGTGAATGACACTTATGACACTTTCAGTGAAATACAGTATGTGCAGATAGGGAGAGAGGCGAGATTGTAACAGTATTTTTTTATATATACATCTCAAAAGATTCCATGATTGCCCCCAGAACTGTCAAAACTTGTGAAAAGACAAACAAGCTAGGGAGTTTCATTAAAGAGAGAGGTGACAGAAGACATGGTGAGGGTTTCTCAAACACACCATTGACTGTTGTGGGTTTCAAAGTGAATCATTGTAATAATGGCTATTTTAGTAACATTAATGCTGCTGCTAATGGCGTAGTGTTGAAAAATGGGCACTTGAATCTTTGTGGCTGTGCTGTGAGAGTTCCCAAGACAAAGAGCTGGTTTATAATACCTGAAAAAAATCTGTTAGCATTCACAGTCATCTCAAAGGCAGTTGTTTGGCTGCTGTGGGTACCAAAAATGTAGATGGCACACACTTCTGGGCACACAATTTTTTTGTAAAGGCAATCACCTAATGCCAATGTGAATAATAACTATGGGAAAATTACAGTCTGACATGCTCACAATGCTGGTTTGTTTGATTTTACTAAAAGAGCACAATCAAAAGCTTTCACTAACAACTATCCTAAGCTGTGATGTCTAAGATAACAGACAGAGAAAAAATGCATTTCATTCTTCTAAGCGCCCTCCCCCAAAGAAAGGTTAAAACTGCTACTATATTTGCAATTTATATTCTTATTTCAAAATAAGCAAATAAATAAACTGATTTAGTCAAAATTTACAGCTACTTTTTAATGGCTGTCAATAAAGACAGATGCAGGTACTAACTGGCCCATGCTAACTAGCCAAAACTAGACCCTTTAGTCATAGTTGGTCTTTAATTGAGCTCTCCACTTGCAATTTTATAAACTTGGTTTCTCTCTAACACTGGTTCTCAATGGTCTTTGAAGTATCAAGGTTCCCATGGTCTTATAGGGTCAACAAAGTTGAGAAATGTTTTATAACACCTACAACTTTTCAGTCTTGTTAACAGTGCAGAAAAAGCTAAAATGTGATCAAAATCCTCAATTTGCTTTTCCTAAGTCATCAAAACTCATCAATAATTAGGGCTCAGGGTTGTCAGAGGCATCGCGTCCTTGTCAATTCTGTCACTCTGCTGCTGACTGCCCTATTGGGATATATCATTACTCATTTCTGACTTCTCATTTATCCAGATGGAGAGAGGAGTCAGAGTGCCAGACAGAAACCTCAGGGTTTGCATTGCAGATTCTCTGCCTGTAGTCATTTATCCCAAAAGATCTGTGTAAACCCAAACTTTCAGGAACTTCTAGATGACAAGTACTTAAAATGCCAATAAAACGATCAAACCAGACAAGCTAAAACCTTAAAATTATTTCAGATGTTTTATTTTTCAGCACGGTAAGCAGCTTAACACTCATGATGTACCGCTTTCTATAAAACAACGAGATTACATAACTACCACCGGCCAAGGCTAAAGACACCAGAAAGGCCAATAAACAAGTAAAGGCAATAAACAAGACCAATTTCCGACCTGTAACCTTGTGACCAGGTCATCCTCTTCTTTAGAATAAATGAAAAATGACTGTGAAAGAAAGAACCTGGTATATTTCTGCAGATTACAAATTGAAGAGTATGAAATGTCAAGGCCTTACAAATTCACAGCATTTTTTTTATTCTTCACTCCGTTTGGTGGAACCACAAGTAAAGACTGTCTCATTGAAACAGAAACGCCAGAAACGAAAACAAATCATGAAATTAATTTGTATATTAATCCTCTGTAAAATACTGAATTATACCCTGAATTCACACTTTTCTCATAAGGCCTTTTCTTCAGGCATGCTGTGCTTGTACAACAGCTAGAATTACATCACGTCAGCCTCTGGGGAAAGACGGAAGCCTTTTCCATTTCCACTCGCACTTATCAATAATCAAAATCCAATAAAATGGGCATTAAGTCAAATATGGCATCAATAAGAAGAGCTTCCCTTCGGCATTAACTAGCTGATGCAAGGTTTTCTGCCGGGAACAAACCAGTGGGTTGGGGTGAGGTTTATTTTTGAAGGCTTAGTCTGACTGTGATTACAGGATGTATGATCCATAATGACCCTGCTTCCAGGCTCTCGCCTCAGCCTCTTCACACGCCGCTGTTCTCCCCAAGCACTCTCGCATAGCAATCACTTCACTCATGCTATATATCTCATTTGAGAGTATAATTCATAGTTTATTATCTAAAAGAGGTGGGAGCTAGTTGCTTTTCATTCACTATGGCACTATATGCAATATAATACAGCTATGACCTAAATGTTGCGAGGGGG